GTCCAATTACCAAGCCCCTTCCCCCCCTCCAGACAGACTCTCCCTCAAAAGAACCTGACTGAAACAGTAATGGAGAGAAACAAACATTTTATTGCGAACCAGACATGAAACGTGGGGTGTGAAACTTGGACGGGGGTTTGTGTGAGGTGGGTAGGAAAGGGCTTATGAAATTTTGGGGAATGTCAGCCTTCTAGTGCTAGAGCAGTCTGCAGGGGTTGACTGAAAGTTTTAACGGCCCTTGCCGCCCCTCCTTCTTTGGACTTTGGGTGAGGGGGGTGTGGGACTTGGTGGCGGGTGAGGGCGGTTACAGATAGACTGCAGCGGGGCTCTGTCCTCCTGCCTCCGGTCTTGCAGAACATCCACAAGGCGCCGGAGCGTGTCCGTTTGCTCCCTCATTAGTCCAAGCAGCTTTTCAGTAGCCTGTTGGTCCTCCTGACGCCACCTCTCCTCCCGTTCCATGACTGCTCGGTGCATTTGTGACAAGTTCTCCCTCCACTGTGTCTGCTGGGCTGCCTGGGCTCGGGAGCAGTCCATTAGTTCTGAGAACATGTCTTCACGCGTCTTCTTCTTCCTCCGCCTAATCTGCGCTAGCCTCTGGGAGTGTGCTGACAGGCTGGGTTGGGAGACAGTCGCAGATGTGTCTCTGTGAATTGTAAAAAGGGAGTGAATTCCTGAGACAGATAAATGAAATTGTATACAAAGAACCTAGTCTTTCTCTGTGAACAAGACCATGCACTGAACCTCTCACATGCGCACTCAGGACAAGGTCGAATTTTCGGCCGTCGCCTTCAGTGCCTGTGGACTTGCGGAGGTCTTGGAGTGTTCAGAGAACTGTGGCTGGAGACCTGAACTTCTGGAGCGGGCAATAATGGTAAGCGGCAGACTTGTGGCTGCTTAAAACTCCAGCAGTAGCACTGGCCTCCTTTCACATTGAAAGCAATGCCAGTCTCTGCTGCCAGCAATCAGGACAGCATGAACTCTGCCCCTGTCCCACCCCCTCGCGGCTGTCCCAGGGAAAGATCCCTGTATGCTGCCCCTCTCCCTCCACCGCGTGGCTGTCAAGCAGTCCCAATACTAACATTCCCCTCCCTAATTCAAAGCAGGGCGTCATGAGCGACATCACCCTCCTGAGGATCCCGGACACCCAGAAAGAACGCATGCTGCGGGAAAGCATGCAGAAACCGGGGCCGTATGCCGCCATGCTATGTCGTGCGATGATCCCGGAGTACTTGATTGTGGCGTGGAGGGGACATGTCTGCTACCACGGAGGGCCCACTAAGATCGCCCTACCCCGGAACCTGATCAACAGGCTTGAGCTCTACCTCCACGAGACCTACGAGGAGTTCTCCTACGAGGATTTCTCGTCGATCCCCGGCCACATTGACCGGATTTTCGCGTAGGTGCACTGGGACTTTGGAGTGGAGCGTCTTGGGCCTGGGAATCATGTAGTAACGGACATTGTGAAAATTTTTTAAAACACTTGGGACTAAATTGAGAAGAGCCTAAGACAGAGAAATCATGAAAACCCATTTGTTACCTTTGTAAATATTCCTGTTTTGTACCTGATTATTTTTTTACTAGTTTACAGAACTTTTATAAATGTACATTGTTAATAGTATAAATATTACCGTTCTGTTTTAAATAAATGTTTACATGTTTACAGCACTTACTGCTTGATCCTTCCCCTGATTCTGTGTCCGGGGTAAGGGATGGGGACGGTTGGTACGGGATCTCGGTAAGGGTGATGAAGAGCTCCTGGCTGTCGGGGAAATCAGCGGTGCCAGCGCTGTCGACTGCCTCGTCCTCCTCATCTCCTTCTTCATCTTCCCCGTCCGCTGTCATGTCCGACGAGGAACCGGCCGCGGACATGATCCCATCCTCGGAGTCCACGGTCAGGGGTGGGGTAGTGGTGGCGGCCGCTCCCAGGATGGAATGCAGTGCCTCGTAGAAACGGGATGTGTGGGGCTGGGATCCGGATCGTCCGTTAGCCTCTTTGGTTTTTTGGTAGCCTTGTCTCAGCTCCTTGATTTTCACGCGGCACTGCGTTGCATCCCGGCTGTAGCCTCTCTCTGCCATGGCTTTGGAGATCTTCTCGTAGATCTTAGCATTCCTTCTTTTGGAGCGCAGCTCTGAAAGCACGGACTCATCGCCCCACACTGCGATGAGATCCAAGACTTCCCGATCAGTCCATGCTGGGGCCCTCTTTCTATTAGATTGCACGGCCATCTCTGCTGGAGAGCTCTGCATCGTTGCCACTGCTGCTGAGCTCACCTCGATGTCCAAAGAGGAACTGAGATTCAAACTGCCCAGACAGGAAAATGAAAATGAATTCAAATTTTCCCGGGGGTGTGGCTGGTCAGAGCATCCGAGCTCTGACTGCTGTCCAGAGCGTCAACAGAGTGGTGCACTGTGGGATAGCTCCCGGAGCTATTACCGTCGATTTCCATCCACACCTAGCCTAATTCGATATGGCCATGTCGAATTTAGCGCTACTCCTCTCGTTGGGGAGGATTACAGAAATCGATTTAAAGAGAGCTTTATGTCGAACTAAATGGCTTCCTGGTGTGGACGGGTGCAGGGTTAATTCGATATAACGGCGCTAAAGTCGACATAAAAGCCTAGTGTAGACCAGGCCTAAGAGAGAAGCTCTCTCTTTCCAATCTTTGGTTACAAATGTTTGCATGCAATCTTAGGCCCCATTCCAGATAATGCTCTATGTGACCAATGGGGTCAACCCCCAAGGAGTCACTTGTAGGATTGGTACCTTTAATCTTTAGACACAATTCTGCACCCTTACACCCACATGGAGCTCCACTGATTTCAATGGGGTTCTGGCTGTGTGCAGCAGTTTGCAGGATCTGGGCTTTAAGTACTGCTGCAGCCAGGAAGATTAATTTACAAATAACTTACACACTAATAAGTCTAAAAACTATACTGTGACCCTAAGAAGCACTCAATGCCAATGGCAGAGGGCCCACTGTTCTGTAACTCCTATCAGGCCTGACATAAAGAACGGCCATACTGGGTCAGACCAAAGGTCCATCTAGCCCAGTATCCTGTCTTCCGACAGTGGCCAATGCCAGGTGCTTCAGAGGGAATGAACAGGTAATCATCAAGCAATCCATTCCGTTGCCCATTCCCAGCTTCAGGCAAACAGAGGCTCGGGACAACATCCCTGTCCATCCTGGCTAATAGCCATTGATAGATCTATCTTCCATGAACTTATCTAGTTCCTTTTTGAACCCTGTTATAGTCTTGGCCTTCAGAACACCTTCTGGCAAGGAGTTCCACAGTTTTACTGTGTGTTGTGTGAAGAAATACTTCCTTTTGTTTGTTTTAAACCTGCTGCCTCTTAATTTCATTTGGTGACCCCTAGTTCTTGTGTTATGAGGAGTAAATCACACTTCCTTATTTACTTTCTCCACACCAGTCATTATTTTATAGACCTCTGTCATATCCCCCCTTAGTTATCTCTTTTCCAAGCTGAAAAGTCCCAGTCTTTTTAATCTCTCCTCCTATGGAAGCTGTTCCATACCCTTAATAATTTTTGTTGCCCTTTTCTGTACCTTTTCCAATTCCAATATACCAATTCCAATGACACACTCATTACATCTACCACATTGCTGTCATGTTATTTTCTGCAAAGAGTGTTGTGTGAAGTATCCAGTGAAAGCTGGTGACACACTAGTCATTAATATCATTGCATGATGATGCATGGATGCAGTATAAAGAGTTATGTATGTGTGCTGGAAATATGTTTTTATAATAAGTTCTGCGGGCAGATTTGATCACGTTTGTCCTAGACAAAGGGAATGTTGATTCGCCTGTGTCTATAATGTAAACTGAGCACAGGGATGCCAGAGACAATGGACCTTTCATTTGCATCCAAGGTAAACACCAGTTATCAAGAGGATGATGCAATAGCACAGCATCAGCACACCAGAGGACACCTCATAATCTGAACCGCAGGGAGTCAGCCTGACTCTTGGGACAAAGACTATGAACTTTGGGGAATATAAGCAGCAAAAGGACATCTTGCTACTCATAACTGAGGGAACAAAGAGGTCAGTGCTCTTTGCATCTATGAACAGTGGATCTCCAACCAGATGGGTTGATGACGCTGAGAAGTAGCTGTAGGTGAGAAAACTGCTTTAGACAAAGCATGGAGCCTGCTAAGGTTACATATAGCTTCAGAAACATGTTATACTTTTGTTTCATTTGTAACCATTTTCTGTTTCTATTATCTCTGCTTAATTTCACTTAAATCTCTGGTCTTAATAAACTTACTTTTGCTTTATTATAAATTCATCTCAGTGCTGTTATAATAAAGAGAGGTGTGCATCCTCAGCCGAACCAGCAGGCAGGTGTGTAGTCTGTCTCTTTGGCGGCAGCAGAGTTGGTAGTTCTGTTAGCATCCAGTGACAGGGGCTGGCCCTCTGAAACTGAGCAGGTCAAACTGGGGACGACCCCTAATGTCGGCCTACGCTTATAATTCAGGTCACCTGCCCTACAGTCCCTGTACCGCAGATGTGGCAGCAGAGCCGCGTCTACACCAGGGACTTGCCCCCGGCAGAGGGGTTTCTAAGTCTGCTCCATGAAACCGGGGCACGTTTGTAGCCAAGGGCCGGGCAGCTCGCACGGGTGCGGCTAGGAAGTCGGCCCCTGACAGGCACCCGGAAGCGGGGCTGGGAGGGAGACACCGAGCCAGGCAGGGAGGGGGGCCCCTCCCGCTCCCTCACAGAGAGCCCCCGCACCCCAACAGCCACCAACCGCCCCGCACTCACGCAGCAGTTGTAGGCGTGGCTCCGCACGTGCGCCGCGTGCCGGGAGCGCTCATGCCGCACGTGGCTTTTCTCGCACACCAGCAGGTGCCGCGCGGTCTCGCGGAGCCGCCGCAGCGGAACCGACATCCCGAATCCGCGCGCCGCGCAGCAGCCGCCAATAAGGAAGCAGCCGGGGACCACCTCGTCTCCCCCCCCACGTCACGCAGCGGGAGGGGGCAGGCAGGCGCAGGAAGAGGGGGGGCAGTGAGGTTACTTCCGGCCGCCTCCCAGATGCAGAGCAGCTGTTTCCGGTGTAACCTCAGCTCGTGCTACCCTTGTAATTAGTGAGCGAGAGGATGCGCATGCGCAGTAATAGCAGGCGAAGCTGCTGCTGCCCTCCCCATGTGCAAAATGGGATAAAATAGGGGCAGAGGGGGCAGAGCAGGGTTGGGGGTGCTTGGATGCTGTAGCTGGGTGCAGTAACCCATACAGGGCTGGGCATTTAAGGCACAATGTAACCCAACAGCCTAGAGCAGGGGTCGGCAATCTTTCAGAAGTGGTGTGCCGAGTCTTCATTTATTCACTCTACTTTAAGGTTTTGTGTACCAGTAATACATTTTAACGTTTTTAGACGGTTTCTTTCTATAAATCTATAATATATAACTAAACTATTGTTGTATGTAAAGTAAATAAGGTTTTTAAAATGTTTAAGAAGCTTCATTTAAAATTAAATTAAAATGCAGAGCCCCCCGGACTGGTCGCCAGGACCCGGGCAGTGTGAGTGCCACTAAAAATCAGCTCACGTGCCGCAGGTTGCCTACCCCTGACCTAGATAATCTGTGTCAGAAGCTGCTTGCTGAAGAGCCCATTCAGGGCCTGTCCTACCTGTCCCCCAAGGGTTAAACATTTTTGGATCTGGTGTTGGTTTTCGCAGCCTTGCCAGCCACTAGCATTTAAGAATCACAACAGGCTGAAAGAATCATGAGATTTGCTTTACAATTGTGAGATTGTTATTTTATAAAAACGGTGTTCTTTTTGTCATCTGGTTTGTGAGCTTTTAAGGTGGACTTGGGCCATGTTTTCAAGGATTTCTTTGCAACCATCAGCCTTAGAAACTTCCTTTTTGCAAGATGAAAGTTGAGATTTTCACAGAATGACTTGACTCCAGCATCTGGAGGTTTAAGAAGAAAAATACAAAATATTGCAAAAGTTTTGATAAAAATTGCAAGCATTGGCAACAGGGAGTTAATGTTTTCACTTAAAAAATGAGGAGTCCTTGTGACACCTTAGAGACTAACAAATTTATTTGGACATAAACTTCTGTGGACTAGAACCCACTTCATCAGATGTATGAAGTAAAAAATACAGGAGCAGTTATAAATACATGAAAGGATGGGGGTGCTTTACCAAGTGTTAGGTCATCCTTTCATGTAGTTATACCTGCTCCTGTATTTTTTATTTCATACATCTGATGAAGTGGGTTCTAGCCCAGGAAAGCTTATGCCCAAATAAATTTGTTAGTCTCTAAGCTGCCACAAGGACTCCTCGTTTTTTGTTGTTGTTGTTCTTTTTTGTTTTTTTTCTGATACAAAATAACAGGGCTACCACTGAAACCTATTTTCACTTAATCACTGACTCCAGGAGTTGAAGCTTTAAGAAAAACACAAACTATCTTAAGACTCACAATAAAATTATTACAGCAGGTTGTAGCAACCTGCTAAAGAGTTGATTCAGTATAGAGTTAAACATTTTCACCTGTGGTTTTGATGTTTAAAAGAATTGTCATCTGTTTTAAAGGGGACAAAAAGCTAATTGTCTCACCAAATGCAAAACAGAGAAGTGAAAGGGATTGGGATACTGCTGGGACAATGCATCAAAGTCCATCCATGATCAATGTGTCATTTGTATTTTTAGACCTGATTCTCCATTGCACCTTCTGTAGTCATTTATATCAGTGCAATGTGAATTCAAAGTGGGTGTATTATGCTGTCCCATAATCAATTTTGCATTCATGTCACAGTGGGGTAAATCACTACATATGGTATGGGGTAAAGGAAAAATCAGGTCCTCAGCATGAGTGACTGCTACACTGATAACTTAGGCCACATCACTACCACCTCCAATTTACATCCTCCTAAACATTGGATATATAGTTGAAGCCTCCAAAATGTGTAGCAAATGGCTAATGTGCCTATTTTGTGCCACACAGACATAAAATTGTATGGTTACAGCTCTGAAATGATACACAGAGTGAGGTGAGAAAGATGACACGTTAAGTGGCATTTTGGCTAGAGTAGAGCAGCAAATGGGGAGAAACAAAGGAGCATAACACTGCTATGAGAGATGGTGAACCTGCAGACAAAGGAATGGTAAGTGTAAAGAGGAAGAGAGAGCACCAGGACTATGGATCAGACACTTGATGACAGATTGGATATGTGGGAAATAACTGAGGAGCATCATTGTGGAACCCCACCCTCTACACATTATTAATAGTGGTACATGTCATATACTCCCCCTTCACACACATATAAGTCCCCATTGTTGACAACTGTACATTGCATAGGAAATTGCCCTCATACAGACCCGTGCATTGATAATGGTACAATCCATAGGAACCCTCTCCACACACATACAATGATAGCATTTAGGAAACCCTCAGACACACTGATAATAGTACAATCCACAGGAAGCCACACTGGCATTAATACATCCTATAGCAGAGTTTCTCAGACAGGGGTCTGTGAGGGTACTTCAGGGGGTCCATGAGTCATGTCCAGGGCCACCGGCCCTGCTGATCAACTCTTCTCCCTCCCTCCCAGTGCCTCCTACAAGCCGCGGAACAGCTGTTCAGCCGCATGCAGGAGGCGCTGGGAGGGAGGGGGAGGAGTGGAGACGGGGCATGCTCAGGGAGGAAAGAGAGGGGCAGGGGTGGGGCCTGGGACTGAGCAGGGGGCTTGGAAGTCCCTGAAAAAAATTAAATAAAAATGGAGGTCCTAAGGTTGCTAAAGTTTGAGAACTGCTGTCCTATAGGATTCCCCAGTCCCCCAAACCCACAGATACAGGAACATAGAAACCTCTCTCTCTACACTGATAGTGGTAGTCTGTTCCCCCACCCTCTCATGCTCATAGACTTTAAGGTCAGAAGGGACCATCATGATCACATTGCAGGCCACAGAATCTCACCCACCCACTCCTGTAATAGACCCATAACCTCTGGCTGAGTTACTGACATCTTCAAATCATGATTCAAAGACTTCTCTGCAGTAAGCACAGTGGTAGTGCTACATAGCACTCCTGCCCCAAACACACACTGATAGCAGTGAAGCCTGCAGCACAACTCCCTCAGCAGCAATATGTTCTAAAGAGCAAATGGGGAGTGGCAATTGGCCGTAGAATGCTTAACCTGGGCCGTTGCCTTTCATCTTTTTTCTCCCCCCCCCCCCCCCCCCCGCCCCCCGGATTCCCACCATGTGCCAGTAAAAATGGCTGGATAATTTAAAGTATTTGTATTCTATGTGACACTTGTCAGCCTCCTGAGGGATGTGGCAGGACCCCACTGAAGTGCTGAGCAAACAGTGGGCATGTGAGGCACTCGCAGCATATATTGGCACCATGTGGGATGTTTTGGGGATTATGGACACCTTGAGGGATATGTCAAGCAAACAGGGATGTTTCAGGGTCCTGCTGGATGTGTTGGGCACCTAATGATATGTGTCAAGCACCTTGTCACCGTGGCAGACACCTCACAACCCCGCAGAGGAAGTATCTGGATCCCGAGGCCAGGGCCGGCTCCAGGTTTTCTGCCGCCCCAAGTGGCAAAAAAAAAAAAGCCGCGGCAGCGCGATCGCACCACTCCACTCTTCGGCGGCAGGTCCTTCGCTCCCAGAGGGACCCGCCGCCGAATTGCCGCCGAAGACCCCAGACGTGCCGCCCCAATAGCGGCCGGAGTGCCGCCCCTTGGTACTGGCCGCCCCAAGCACCTGCTTCTTTAGCTGGTGCCTGGAGCCGGCCCTGCCCGAGGCGCTGTCCAGTGTGTTGGAACTGCATGAGACAGGCCAATATGCATTGGGACTCTGTTCAGGTGTGTCAGAATCCTGTGGAGACATATCAGGACTCTGAGTATTAACATGCATCCAGTTTTTGCAGGATTTTACAAATAACAATTCATTTCCATTTTCCTGGTCTCACACCCTCAATAGGGTTACTCAGATGGTAAGCACAGTGTTTGATGGCAAGTGTTTGCAGCATTAGGACATCAGTTTTGGCTTTTCTTAGATCCTTTAATGATGGAGAACATGTAAAAACCTTGTCTTTTCTATCTGCTCCCTGCTCACCCTTGCTCACTGTATCTCCCTTGTCCCCTGGCTTGCTGTCCCCTCATTCACTTTAGAACAGTACAAAATAGCAAATGTGACCATATCCATAGGTACCAAGTCAACCTTGCTGCTGTTTATGCATGCACAAGGCTATCAAATTTATATAGCACTGTTTACTTAAAGTGGCTCACAGAGCTTTCCAATACATAAACAACAGAAAGAGGAGACAGAAGACTGTGTCTTGACATAAGTCCAGTAAGCTGTACAAGCTGAGTTTGGAAGAAGCCTGAGCTTTTATATCTGTTCAACAGCGCTAGCTCCTGAGCTAACCAAAAGCATATGTGAGATGACTGGTCTAGCAGCATTAGCATGCTGGGCTGTTACTCTGTGAAGGTCATGGCTCAGCATCTCTGGCTTTTCTGGCTACTGTCCAGGCCAGGACTATATGAGATTGGTTCCTCAGCCCCTTTAGCTGGGCTAAGGGAAAAGTTCCTTCAGCTTGCTGGACTGATTTTAAGACACAGACCACAGTTATGTCATTTGCTCGGCAGCTGTAGTGTGCTGGATATATGTAAAGGGCCAAGTTTCTGAGATTTCACTAGTTCACCAGCTTTAGCTTGTTGGACTGATGTAAATAGTTAGGTTTCTTTAAGTTCACTAGCTCAGCATCTCTAGCTTGCTGGATTGTGATGACAAACCACAGGCCTCTGGGAGCTGACTGGCTGTGCAGCTCTACGGTACTGGGCTGGTACCAAGATACAGGACTCTGTTGGGGTCACTGGCTCAGCACCTCTAGCTTACTGGTCTCATGTCAAAAGTAGGCCTGTGTGA